CCAACCGGCCGCTGCCCGTTCCGCCCAATCGGGTGATCGTGGTGCCGGATCTGCCGCCGCCGTCGAAGCCGTTGCCGCCGATCCCGGCGGAAGAGAAGCGCCGCAACTCTGGTCTCTTCAAAGTGGCGCAAAGACCCGAGGATCTGGACGTTTTGGTGAACCAGTTGACAGAGTTGGGCGCCAACAACGGTAACCATAACAACGCGGCCAACAAACAGCGGAAACCCAAAACACGACAACAGGAAGCGAAACAAACGCCTCCGCCTCTGCCGCCACCTGTCGTCGACTCGGACGACGACGAAGAGGAGACCGAAGACTCGCGCACGCGCAACGACGGCACTCTTCTGGCGTCGGATCCGCCGCGACCATTGTTAGCACGCGTTGCACTCAACTATTGATCTCTAACACTGTTGTCTTTGCAGAGCCGAGAGCCACGCCCCCAACCGACCGCTGCCGCCGCCGCCAGACGTGTCGCCGCCGACCAAACCCCTGCCGCCGATTCCGCGCGAAGACAGCGACACTTTGGTGCTGCGGAGGGAAGTGCCGCGCGCTCTGCCAGATCTGTTGTCGCAACACGTGGAGAAGTCGGACGAAGTGTCGAACCTGTTGTTGCAATACAGACAGAGCTGCGGTCAGACTCCGCCCCTTCTGTCCAACAAACAGCGCTCGTTCCTCACGTTCGGCTTCTCGGCGTCGGGAACGCCGTCGCCGCGGCGCGAGTCGCACGTGAACGTGAATGTGTCGCCCGCTCTGCACGCGGACACGCCAGAGATCCGCAAATACAAGAAGCGCTTCAACTCGGAGATCCTGTGCGCGGCGTTGTGGGGCGTGAACCTGCTGATAGGGACGGAGAGCGGACTGATGCTGCTGGACAGGAGCGGCCAGGGCAAGGTGTACCAGCTCATCTCGCGGCGCCGCTTCCAACAGATGGAAGTGCTGGAGGGACAGAACATCCTGATCACCATCTCGGGCAAGAAGGCGCGCGTGCGCGTGTACTACCTCTCCTGGCTCAAGAGCAAGATCATCAGAACGGACGGCGTGAGTGCTTGACCTTGACTGTGCTCTTTGTAACTGTGCTTTCCTCCAGCAAATAGAGAAGCGCGCGGGCTGGATCAACGTGGGCGACCTGCAGGGCGCCATCCACTTCAAGATCGGTAACAATTGCTTTCCTCTCTCTCTCTCGCTCTCTCTTTCTAACACTCTGTGGCAATGGCAGTGGTTTGGCTGATTCCGCAGCACGTGTCCAAAGACTGGGAGAACACGTTTCGCATCTGGAGCGGAAACGGTCAGTCATTGCCATTCCTCTAACCACTGTTCTAACTCTCTCCCGCAGTCAAGTACGAGCGCATCAAGTTCCTGGTGATCGCGCTGCGCGACTCGGTCGAGATCTACGCGTGGGCGCCCAAACCCTACCACAAGTTCATGGCCTTCAAGTCGTTCTCCGAGTTGGCGCACAAACCCCTGCTCGTCGACATGACCATCGAGGAGGGCCTGCGTTTGAAAGTCATCTACGGCTCGACGCACGGCTTCCACGCCGTGGACCTCGACTACGGCTCCGTCTACGACATCTACATCCCGCAACACGTGACATCACCAGTTGGCCATTCCCGGCTTATTCAGCGTCATGAAGTAGATCTGACACGAA